CCAGTATCCACATTCAGAAAATCATCAGTCGCCATTTCTGCCACCTCCAGCAAGATGCCGCCACCAGAACACATTTCCCTCACTTCCCTTGTCCGCCTTCTGCAGAGAGCATTCCCTCTGGGACACTTGGTCCATTCTTCCCTCACTCCCAACAGCCCCCCATAACCCCATAGCACCTTTCCCTGCAACTGCCAAAGGTGTAACACCTGCCCATTTACTTCTTCTCTCCCTAGTATCCAACAGCCCGAGCATATCTTCCAAATGAAGCAGCGCTTTACTTGCACTTCCCTCGATCTAATGTACTGCATTTGCTGTTCACAATATGGTTTCCTCTATATTGGGGAAGCAAAACATAGACTGGGTGATCGCTTTGCAGACCATCTACGTTCTGCCCGCAAAAAAGACTATGAGCTTCCAGTTACCTGCCACTTCAATACACCACCCTGTTCCCTGGCCAACATCTCTATCTCAGGCTTGCTGCAGTGTTCCAGCGAAGCTCTGTGCAAGCTGGAAAAACAACACCACATTCTCCACTTGGGGACCCTGCAGTCCTACAGACTCAATATCAAGTTCAATAATTTTAGAGCCTGAACTCTCCAGTGTCATAGTCCCCTACCCCACACACCAGGCCTTGTTATTACATAGCCTGCCAATACACATCACCTACTGTTTGCCACTAACAATCTCTATTAACAGCTATTCACCCTCCTAGCCAGATCATTATCAACTCCTTTGTCTCTCCAACTGTTCTTCTCTCTCTTTGGGCTTTACCCCAGCTATCATTTACTCCTTACCACCTCTACCCACCCTATCTTCAGCATATAAATTGACATTTTCCTAGTTACTATCAGTTCTGGGGAGGGATACCGAACCTGAAACGTTCACTCTGATTTTTCTTCACAGATGCTGCCAGATCTGCTAAGCTTTTACAGCAACTTCTGTTTTTATTATCTGTTGTGACACTTAGTTGAATGGCATCATTTTCATATTTTTTTAAAAAAAGGCAAAAGCTCAGAAACTTAACTTTTGTAAGTTATAAAAATCTGTCAATCTGAAAACTGAACAAGTTGAATTGCTGAAAATGGTTTTGTAAAACTCCTTTGGCAATCAGTTTTCTTGACTTCAAAATGTTGTTTCTAATTTCTAATATTTAAAAAAAAGTTTCTTTTAAAAATACAATTGCTGTAATGTCATCCAACTTGTCTATAAACTCAGCTGGTAAGAAGACAGCCCAAGGAAAGCAGATGAATCCTGCACCTTCTCAGCCACTGTGTTTGCTTTCATGAAATGCAACAGATGCTGCCATGCCAGAGTGAGGCTCCTGAGCTACACCAGTCAATCCTTAATACATGATTGACTGTAATGGCACAAATTATCACCTTACAGGATAGAAAGCCGGCATCATTACATTATTTGTAAACTTGTGTAAAAAGCAAAATATTGCAGATTCTGAAAATCTGAAATAAAAGCCACGAATGTTGGAAAGGCTTAGCAGGTCAAGTAGCCTCTATGAAAAGAGAAGGAAATTAATGTTTCAGATTGATTATCTTTCATCAGAGCTGGAAAATAATTAGGATGCCCCAGATTTCAGGCTAGTACAAAGACATAGAAAGGGGATTGAGTGGAAAGAAGAAAAGATAGGAAAGATTAAATAACAAAAGGGAAGCAACAACAGATAGCAAAGAAACAAAAGGCGAGTCCCGGAAATGGGAATGTCAGAATCCTTTCTGACAGCTAATTTCAGAAAAAATGGGTCAGAAGTTATCAAGTAGAATTGTTAAACTCTTGAAGGCTGTAGAGTGCTTAATTAAACGATATGCTGCTATTCCTCTTGCTTATCTAGAACATGATAGAACAATATAGGTAACCAATGCCACTGAGAAGGGAAATTAAAATGACAAGTGGTGAGAATTTTGCCTGTAGATTGTAAAGAGGCAGAATGCAAAACAGTTGTAAAGTCTCATGCTTTTTGTCTACTGACTGGTCTTGTATGTTTTCAGGAATTGATTGATGGCTTTACTTGGAGATTTCAGCTCCTTTCAAATACCTTTGTTAACAACTTATATTCTTCTATTAGTTTACAAATTACTAATGGTGTCCTTATCTGTAATTCCAATGCAATCGGAATAATTTCCCTTTTGTTGGAACGTAATTAGATTTAAAAATTATTGCAGTAGGAACTTGCGTTAAGATAGCACCGAGAACATACTGAATTGTCCCAACATACTATTTTGAGGATTTTAAAACAAGCTTTGACTCTGAACCATGTAAGGTGATATTGAGGCAGATGACAAAATTTGGTCAAAGAGTTATGTTTTAAAGAGGACAGTGAAGTAGAGGTGTGATGAGGTTAAGGGAAGGAATGGTAGAGCTTAGGGCCGAAGTAACTCCCCCAGTGGTTAAGTAAGTAAAATCAGGGATGTTCAGGACCCCGGTGGTAAAGGAGTTCAGTTGTCTCAATTGGGTTGTGAAGGCTGGAAGAGATTACAGAGGTAAGTAGAGACAGGGCCCTGGAGAAATTTTAAAACACAGTTGAGAATTTCAAATTAAAGTAATGCTGTAACCAAGAGCCAGTGCAGGACAGTAAACAAAGAATGATGAGTTAACAGTATTTGATCAAGTTGTGACATGGCTCACAGAGTTTTGGATGTCTTCATGTTTACTGAGGGTACAATTTGGCAAACAGCCAGGAATGCATTCCAATAGTCAAGTCAAATCGTCACAAAAGGTATTGATGAGGTGTAAAACATTGAAATATTTATTTAATTTATTGTAATACCCAAGTCAGTTAACAATTATAGATTGAACTTAGACAGCCAATCTGAAATTTCTTAGTCCTAATTAATTATCAAACCCATTCCAGGTATAAGTATATTTTTATAAGTTTTACAGATTTTATTAAAGTATCGTAAGTAAAGAAACAAAGTACTGAATATAAGTAGTCATTTCAGCTAATCTATGTTATAATACCAAATCACGACATTGGTGACACAACGCCTCTCTCTTTCAACCGAAAGAACTGCAGATGCTGTAAATCAGGAACAAAAACAAAGTTACTGGAAAAGCTCAGCAGGTCTGGCCACATCTGTGAAGGAAAAAAAAAAGTTAACATTTCGGGTCTGGTGATCCTGCCTCTCTTGTTCTGTTACTGATCTTCCTTTCTATGCAAATGAACCACTAAAACCTACATCTTAATAAACTTTATTGGCTACAACCCAATGTGCATGAACAGAGGCAACCTGAACTCTGATTGGCTTATTAGTGCATGAACAGTTCATTGTCAATCTTGGGTTGGCTAAACGACACATGCCCAATACCTCCTTGGTTTCTTTAAAAGTAAAGAATAGTCATCTTAGTCACATCACTTCCTACTGTCTTCTCATTCATTTTTTTAGCATGCTAATCACTTTATAGGCTCGTCATTTTTATAATAGCTTGTCCCTCTTAGTTTACCAACTCCATAGATCTTTCCCAAGATGATGACAGTGAGCGATTAATGCATTTGCTTAGAGTGTGTAATGTTACCACCTAGTGATGAGCTATCATCTCTCTTACCCCAATTGAAACATTTTAGACAACATTCAGGCACATAAATATCCTCTAGCTACAAAAATTATGCGTAACTCCATAATAAATATTGAGAACTAAAACAAAGCTCAAAATAACCATGCAAACTAATACACTTAGGCCTCTACTGCATGCTTAAGTTACAATTTTAAAACACCCTTGAGTAGAAGCATTTTACCTGAAAGTATTCTCAAATGTGTATACTTAAGTTTACATTAGCTGAGCCATCAAACTGAATGATAGCACAAACATTTGATCTGGCCATACTGTTTATTCCTCATAGAAACTTAAACAACTGACCGCAATTGCAGCAAAGTTTGAATTTAAAAGGACCATAATATTGCTAATTAAACTATATTTAGCTCAATATGAGAAACAAGGTCAACCAGGTTCGTTAATTTAACAAATAAAGTTTTTTTTGCATTTTACAAAATACCTACTGAAGCAAATATGGCAAAATTATTAACAAAACATTTAAAATATATGTATAAATACCCTTCTTAAAAATAGCTTGTAAACACACACACATGCAGTCACTCCTCCAGGCCTGGAAAAACCTGGCAAAGAATTTTGGACAAATAATGTGCAAGCAACACGTCAGCAAAAGTAATTATTCTTGGATTGACTTTAGCTGCAGATTAACTTTTATACACTTTGCTCATGTCGGTGCTGGAGTTTCTCCCTGTGTTGGTTATGGCTGGTTTTTTTTTTCTTTTTTCTAAGACAGTGGTGTAGACTTATTTAAGAGCCGTCTATTTGTGTGATGAACCCTTCCAAAGGGTTTTCAACTCTCAAACTTTGAGAGGGATTTCAGGGGAAAGGAGAGGGAAGGCTTTTGGCCTTTTCGTGGTTTTTGTTTCTTTGTGTTCAAAACCAATGTCTTTTGTACAGGCACATTGTGTTGTGACCTCCATCTGAATGTGTTGAGACATAGTGACCGTATGTTTTGCAAATGCAACAGTCTTGCTCCCAGTGTACTTGCTTTGAAAAATGTTCCCTTCAAGAAGCTATTTGCGCATATACAAACGGCCAATTATATAGATGATTGAATCAGAACATCCAGCCAATGACCTGATCAGTTGATGTTTTAAATAACAAATCTTTATAACAATTCATTTGGTTGTTTAGGCCATACTGCATAGTAAAAGTAGGCCATTCGAGTCATCGACTCTGTGCCACCATTCGGTGAGATCATGACTGATGTGATAATCCTCCATGCCACTTTCCTGCCTTTTCCCCATCATCCGTTGTTCCGTTACTGATTAAAAATCTGTTTATCTCAGCCTCAAATATGCTTATTGATCCAGTCTCTATAGCTCTGTGCGCAAGACTTGCACAGATGCAGTACCCTCTAAGAGAAGAAATTTCTCCTCCTCTCTCCCTTAGATGGCTGATCCCTTATTCTGAAATTATTTACTCTGTTCTTAGACTCTTCCTCAAGAGGAAACATCTTATTTGCAACTACCCTGTCACGTCCTGTAAGAATCTTATCTTTCGGTAAGGTCTCCTGTCATTCTTCGATATTCAAATAAGTACACACCCAGCCTACTTAACCTCTCCTCATAAGACAATCTTTCCATACCTGGTAACAACCCAGTGAGCCGCCTCTGGACTACATCCAATGCTAGTATATCTTTCCTTGGATAAAGAGATTTAGGCCATTAGCTCTAGGCACTGTTGGTATGATGACTTTAGTTTTTAGTGTGCTTATTCTCTGACTGTAAAAATGTCAAGTCTTTATTACATCACATCTAGCAATGCAGCTAAGTTATAATTTGTTGCTCACTTCTAAATAACTAGAAAAGCCATGTTGGGTGGGGGTTTAACGGTTTTCCTAACAAATAAGTTTCTTCTGGATTGTTCTTTATAATTTTCCTTTAATTCTTTTTAATTTGGAAAGGTACAACTTAATGGTGAAAGTGGCGATTCATCATGCTGTTAGCCCTTACTGCACCGTGGTTCCATCTTCTTCAGACCTTATGAACTCAAGACCTCCGTCAGACATGTTGAAAGTGGCATGGAATCTTGCTTGGTATGGTGGGATTGATCAGGTCCTGGAACAGAATGGACATCCAGGAATTAATACACCTCCAGAGTAAGTCTGAGTATGTTCAGTAAAACGTTTGCATTGTAATGAAGCTCCACAGTAAAAGAATTTTGGTAATGTGGGCAACAAGTAAGGACAAACTGTTTCAAGTTTTGGTGAGCAATTATAGTTGTATAACAAACTGAAGTATGTGAATATAGATAGAAACTTCACTTTCAACCATAATTTCAGCATAAAATTTGTGCATGTAACTTTTCAGAACAATGTATCCAAAGTTCCTCTGAACTGTTGGAATTGTGCTTTTTTAAATCCAGAACTGAGTTTTGTACCCATCTGACTACAGTTAGAGTAGTTCAGATTTGCTTCAGCTACTTTATCAAAAACATAATAAATCACCAGTTGAGCCTTCTCTGTCTGGCCTTTAGCATTGTGTTAACATTTGCCAGCCACTCTTGCACAAGATCCTACTTGCTTTTAACCTGCTCCAAGTATTTGCTGACAGCTTCCCTGAAAGCTGTGGCTCATCTGTCGCCTATTTGTTTGTTAAATTTAAGTATGTAAGCGTAAGCAGAATATCAATGAATTTACAAAATAATGAACTCTAACATATTTGTTTTATTTTGACAAATACATTCGGCGAGGGTAGTATTGTCACTGGACTAGTAATCCAGTGACTGAGCAAATGCTGTGCCGGATGATGAAATTTGAATTCAATTAATAAAGACTGAAATTAAAAGACAGACTAATGGCCGCCATGAATCTGCTGTTGATTGGGATAAAAACATATCTGATAATGTCCTTTAGGGAAAGAAATCCAGCATTTGTTGCCCATCCTCCGTTTCTATTGCGAAGGTGGTGGTGAGTTGGTTTCTTATACTGCTGCAGTCCATCTGCTGTAGGTGCACCCACAATGTCATTAGAGAAGGAGTTCCAGGATTTTGACTGAGTTATAGTGAATGAACAACAATATATTTCCAAGTCAGGATGGTGAGTGGCTTGGAGGGGAATGTGCATGTTCCTGTATATTTGCTGCCCTAAATGGTAGGTGTCATAGGTTTGGAGGGTGCTGACTAAGAAGCCTTGATGAATTTCTTCAGTGCATACTGTAGATGGTACATACTGCTGTGACTCAGCATTGCTGGTGGAGGGATGTTTGTGTATGTTGTGCCAGTCAAATGGGATGCTTTGTCCTGGACGATGTCAAGCTTCTTGAATGTTGTTGGAGCTGCACTCATCCACGCAAATGGGGAAATATTTCATCCTACTCCTGGCTTTTGCCTTGTGGATGGTGAACAATCTTTGCAGAGTCAGGCGGAGGTACTGGACGGCTTAAAATGCATAAAGGTGGATAAGTCTTTGGGACCTGATCAGGTGTACCCTAGAACTCTGTGGGAAGCTGGGGGAGTGATTGCTGGGCCCCTTGCTGAGGTATTTGTATCATTGATGGCCACAGGTGGGATGCCAGTAGACTGGAGGCTGGCTAATGTAGTGCCACTATTTAAGAAAGGTGGCAAGGAAAAGCCAAGGAACAATAGACTGGTGAACCTGACATTGCTGGTGGGCAAGTTGTTGGAGGGAATCCCAAGAGATTGGATTTACATTTGGAAAGGCAGGAACTGATTAGGGATATCAACATTGCTTTGTGCATGGGAAATCCTGTCTCACTAACTTGATTGAGCTTTTTGAAAATGTAAAAAAGAGGACTGATGAGGGCAGAGCGGTGGATGTGATCTATATGGACTTCAGTAAGGCGTTCGACAAGGTTCCTGATGGTAGGCTGGTTATCAAGGTCAGATCACATGGAATACAGGGAGAACTAGCCATTTGGATACAGAACTGGCTCGAAAATAGAAGACAGGGTGGTGGTGGAGGGTTGCATTTCAGACTGGAAGCCTATGACCAACAGTGTGCTATAAGGATTGGAGCCAGGTCCACTGCTTTTTGTCATTTACATAAATGATATGGATGTGATCATAGGAAGTATGGTTAGTAAGTTTGCAGATGACACCAAAATTGGAGGTGTATTGGACAGCGAAGATGGTTACCTCAGGATACAGCAGGAGTTTGATCAGATGGGCCAATGGGCTGACGATGGCAGATGGAGGTTAATTTAGATAAATGTGAGGTGCTGCATTTTGGAAAGGCAAATCTGGGCAGGATTTAAAAACTTAATGGTAAGGTCGTGGGGAGTGTTACCAAACAAAGAGACCTTGGAATGCAGGTTCATAGTTCCTTGAAAATGGAGTCACAGGCACAGGATAGTGGTATGCTTGCCTTTATTGGTCAGTGCATTGAATATAGGAGTTAGGAGGTTATGTTGAGGCTGTACAGGATGTTGGTTAGACCACTTTTGGAATACTGTTTGCAGTTCTGGTCTCCCTGCTATAGGTTTCAGAAAAGATTTACAAGGATGTTGCCAGGGCTGGAAGGTTTGAGTTATAGGCTGAATAGGCTGGTGCAATTTTCTCTGGAGCTTTGAAAGCTTGAGTGGTGACCTTAAAGGTTTATAAAATCATGAGGGGCATGGATAGGGTAAGTAGACAAGGTCTTTTCCCCAGGGTGGGGGAGTCAAAAACCAGAGGGCATAGGTTTAAGGTGAGTGGGGCAAGATTTAACAGGAACCTAAGAGGCAACTTTTTCACACAGAGGGCAGTGCATGTGTGAAATGAACTGCCAGAGGAAGTGGTGGAGGCTGGTATAATTACAACATTTTAAAAGGCATCTGGATGTATATATGAATAGGAAAGGTTCAGATGGATATGGGCCAAATGTTGGCAAATCGGATTAGATTTATCTAGAATATCTGGTCTCCTTGGACGAATTAGACCAAAGGGTCTGTTTCCATGCTGTACTATGACTATATGACTGAATCAGAAAGTGAGTTACTCATCGCAGGAATCCTAGATTCTGACCCACTTTTGTAGCCACAGTGTTTAAACGGCTGATCCAATTCAGTTTCTGGTCAACAATAACCTTCAGTATTCAACGCCGACACCCTTCAAGATGATGATAATGGTGTTTTCGTAATGGTAATGGCATTGAATACCAAGGGGTGATGGTTAGATTTTGTCTTATTGGAGGTGGTCATTGTGTGGCGCAAATATGACTTGCTGTTTATCAGCCCAAATCTGAATGTAGTCCAGGTCTTGCTGTTTACGAGCACATATGCTGTAGGTGGATTGTGTCTCCTGCTGCTAATGGTCCGATGTCCAATCTTAAATTGTTAGATCTGTTCCAAGTCTGTCTCATTTAGTGCAATATGATTGAAAATATTCTCCATTTAGAAATACAAATTTGTTTCCACAAGAATGGTGTTTGATCACTCTTACTAATACTTTAACGGGTGGATGCATGTGCAACAGGCTGATTAATGAGGATTAAATTCAGTAGATTTTCCATTTTGTTTATTTCCTCATCACTTTCTCTGGACCATTTCTAGTAGCTATACTCTTTAGTACTCGGCCAGCTTAATTAGTAGTACCTAGTCACTGTTGGTGATGGAGTTTAAGTCATTTGCGCAAAGTACGATTGACGTACTGGTCACCTTTCTTCCTCCTCCAATTAATGTTTAATATGACATATCTGGGAAGTTTTCCACATTATCAGGTTGATGCAATGTTGTAGATGTACTGTAAGCTTGAATAGGGTTGTCTAATTCTGAAGTACAAGTCTTCATTACTGTTGGTGAAATGTTGTCAGAGCCCAAAGCCTTTGCAATACCCATTGATGGAGCTGTTTCCTGATATCACTGGAGTGAATCAAATTATTTGAACTTGGAGGAGTACTGATTCATCAGCTGAGCTAAGGTGGTATTTAGTAATCAACAGGAGGTTTACTTGCCTTCCATTTGACCTGATGCCGTGAAATTTCATGGGGTCCGGAGTCAATGTTACCTACTCCCAGGGCACTGTATACTACTGTGTTTCCACTTCTTGTGGGTGCGTTCTGCCACTGGGATAGGATGGTAATTGCAAAGACACTCAGCAGGTCAGGCAGCATCTGTGGGAAGAAAGCCACATTTTCCTAGCTGCTAATAATTTTGATGGAGTCACTGAACTCAACGTTAACTCTGCTTTCTTCCCAAAGATGCTGCCACACCTGCTGAGTTTCACTATCAGTTTCTGTTTCTGTTTTACATCTCCAGCAGAGACAGTTCTTTGTTCTATTATTTGTTTTATTTGTAATTGTGGTTCCTGGGGCATTTTCTCTTCCGCATGATTCCATTTATATGACTGTGTCTGGTTGTTGATGGACTTTCCCTCCATCATAAGATCAGTGGTCGGTATTTTCACTGAGGACACACCATTCATGAGTCCACAGATACTGAAGTAATTTGTGTCCATATGCTGCAAGACCTCTACAACATTGAGGCTTATGTGATAAATAGCCAATAACGTTCGAGCCACTCAAGTGCCAGGCCCTGACCATCTCCAAAAGGAAAGAATGTCCCTTAATCTTCAATAACAACACCAACTCTGAATATCCTCAAAAACTGATCTGGATTGTTCATATAAATACTGTAGTTGCAAGAGCAGGTCAGAGACTGGGAAATCTGCAGCAAATAACTCACCACCTGAAACTTCAAAACTTGTCCGCCATCTATTCGGCACAAATCAGGATTATGGTGATTACTTTTCATGTGCCTAGTTGGTTGCAGCTTCAACATAATCTTAAAGCCTGATGCCACCTTTTGGAGGGTAATGTGGGATGTTGGCCTTGTCAGTGAAGCCTACAAGCCATGCCAGAATTTTTAAAAGTAACTACTGACTTCCAGCAACTGTTTCTGAAAGCAGAGATTGATGAGTCGTTGACTGTATTTGGCTGTTTCTCAATATGCTGCTGAAACATGATTGACTGACTTTGATAGGGATCGATAACCTGAAACCTGAGCATTAATGTTATGAATGGTCTCATGTTGTTAACATAATGTATTTAACATTGGCAAGAGGAGTTCAAGTTATTATGTTCTGACCTTCCCAGAGTCATCTTTGTAGTGCTTTGTGCACAAACATGTGGTACTTCTAAAAACCAGTAAACCTAATGATTGCATTAATCTGCTCACATTTTTTGTCAAACCAGCAACTCAGCAGGGGTTACACACTTAAAATAGTAATTCAAATCTAATATGCAGCAAACAAATTGGAAAATGCCATCCAGTAGTCTTAGTCTATTGTTATGGTATGACTGTTCCTTTTCAAGATGATTTAAATATTCATTGTTTTGCAAATAAAGCTGTGCATTATCTCATTCTCTAGGTTAAATATTGATGGTAGAGAATTATAATTGTATACCTATTGACTCCTTGACATCTTTAATTGGTTGCTTTCTACCTTTTCTCTTTTATAGATTTTTAGAAAACCTGATGTTGTCTCCTGTCGACATTACAATACTTAAAACAACCAATGTTGCTAAGGGTCTGCAGGACTGTCTTGTTTCCATTACCGAGGCAACATCTCACAGTGTTGTTAGTTCTACTCTTGCTAGAATGAGATTGTATTTGTTGAATGACAAACTAGCTCTGAAACGAGGCACTGGTTCCAGTATATCTACATTACATGACCTTGAATGGCAAACAGCGCTGAGCAGGTATGTATACTTCGTGAAAGCCCCCCCCACAATTCTTACAAATGTTGAGATGTGACAATATGTGAAGACTAATGATATTTAAAAAGAAATTGGAACTTTCAGTTAATAACTGAAACTGATGACGGGGCAATGTTTTGCATTTGAAAACTTTAACTCTAACAAATGACTAAAAGCACAATTGAAAACAAACGTTTTGAGGCAATTTGCACTTTAAACTACACCTAGGAACTTTTGTTTATACTTAGCACACATTCTAATGAGGATTGTTATTCTGCAGAGATTGTAAAGTTTACTTTTGCTTTCAGCTTCAGATGATTTCATGTTTCCCATTCTGCTGTGTCTGAACATCAGTGACTGCCTCTAAGGTGCCATATTAGTGTTTAGAGTTTCGTAAAGCCACCTCCAGAGTAAAACCTGTTCCAATTGATTGATCTCCACCTGCAATGCCAGGATGACAATCCCAGAATACTTAGCTGCGGAATGCATCACTTTGACTAGAGATTGTGTCTCTTTCCTACAACTGTTTGTATTACACATAGTTAAGAAGCCTTTTCTTTCTGCTGAACACCTAAACCATTTGTTTGTCTGTGATCCTCGTTGATTTATAGGGCAATCTGTGGCCTTACCTCAAAAATGGCTTCAGGACTCTTCTCCATGGCAACATGGATAATATTATCCTTGCATTCGAGTAGCAATGCTAATTATCTATTCTTGATCACAACACACTTTCATCTTAGAAGTAAATGGATATTTTACAGCACAACTGTGAGCAACATGATACGTTCAACACCTTTCTCGGACTTTGGAAGACTTGGAATCTACCATTGTGAACACTAAGACTACTGCCATTGTTGCCAGTTTTTATACCATTGCCCCTTGAACACATTCTAAGCTTCTGTTTGATTTTTAACCACCACAGGCCAGTTGCCAAGCAAACTTCAGAATAGGCATGTGACACCCTCTATTTTACCCGAAATTAATCAGATTTCCAATCTTTACAATCTTCTGAGCCTCAAATGTAACAATAACTACCCAATCACTAAAGCCTAACATGCACCCTGTATGATTGCTAGTTGTTTTTGAATGAGGTTTTACTCTTTCCAAGATGGGATTTGTGTTTTTCAGTTTTTTTTTAGAAAAAATGGTATTAGTGAATAGAATGCACACGTCACCATTTATGGTGTTTCTTTCTGATAGCCCTATTCCAATTCTCATTGTAAAATATGTGCTGCAGATAGAAATGCTGAGTCTTGTACCTTTCATTGCAATTCTGATCACGTATTTGGAGAACAGTAGGAGAAAAGTTAATTAGTATCAAAATTCTGCTTGAAGTGATAGATTTGTAATGCTGCTCTTAAAGGTGAAGAGAAAGTTGGTAAAATGATGAAATTGTTTGAAGTTACAGAATGTAATGATCTGCTGATGAAAGGATTTGCCATCACAGGTGGAACAAAGAGGATGGAGAAAATATAATCAACCAAAGTAACGAGCAATATTGATTGTTGCGATTTGTTGCTAGCTTTTGAAGAGAAGTAATGATTTTTGAAAGTGTAATATTGCATGGGGTATCAGTGAAAGTTTGCAAGGACAGGGAGTACTAATTAGGATAGATTAGAACAGAACCTGTAAAGGGCAGTGTGGTACAGTGATACTTTTCCTGCCTCTGAAACAGGAAGGCCTAGGTTCAAGTCCCACCTGCTCCAGAAATGTGTACAGGTTGATAGAAAAATATGGAACACTATCTGTAGAGTTTTAGATCACTTGACATGCGAGTGGGTTGTGCCCAACTGGCTTCAGCCAAACATATTAGAGACATTAAGCCTCAAGGTGATGATGCAGTGAATTAATATGCATAAGCTTGGGCAGATAGTGGTTGTGGTGGTAAAATGCATTTGAGTTCTCATCTGACACTGAGGGTGAGCTTTGACAGGTTCAACTTGAGCAAACCGTCAGAATGAAGGATGGACTAGATGCCAGAGATTCAGGTGTATACATTCACTTACGTGCAATTGATTTCATTTTGATTTTCCTGATTGCAGTTAGACTTTAAGCAATGAAACCAAAGCTGAAATCCTGATGAGTATAATGAGGAGTGCACATCCCCATTTTTCTTTCAGTCCACTGCTTTTGTCACCTCCTTCATAAAACTGCCCAGACAAATTGGAATAGGAATGTGCTTGGGCTATTGCCTATCCTTAGGCGAATGCACAGGTCTTATTTTCCCAGAGCATTTTTTCTTTTATATTGAGCATGATGTATACATAACTAAAGAGAACAGGCAAACTAAGTATCAAACTATAAGAAATGGACAGCTTAGAAAATTTGCACAAATTAGCAGTTAGTTTTCTGAAATACTAGATGTATTTTTTATTTTATTATGTTCTCTAGTCTAGCTTTTGATCTGTTTTACCTTGTCAACTTACTTATGACAATTCTTCAAAAATAACACACAATCGCGAGCATAAAATGTTACTCTAGGGATGTGGAAATCTGCATTAGTTTGAAATTTTACACAGTTATTATTATTGATGTTCCAGATTTTTACTAGTTCTTCCAGCCTGTATTGAGGATGAGAAGCTCCTGGCTGATGTTTTGGCTTTCCTGAGCAAAATGTTGATAGCACAAAGGGATAGTACAGATACTCGGGACCTAAATCTGCTTCTGGAGTTCCTGCTTAGACAGGTAATAAAACATTGCAAATGCTACAAATACACAAAGATAAATAGTTACTACAGATTCAGAGTTTCAGACCAACAATCTCTGGACCTGAGACTGTCCAGGATTTTGGGTTTGGTGGTTTGGGCCAAGGGCACATTGAATCAGATCTAGTTGGGTGTGATCAAGGCTTGCTTGGAATGTGGGATAAATGCAGTGCGTGTTCAGATTATTCCAGGTAAATTTTAAAAATAAATTCAGTTAAAGTTGATGTATGAAACATTAGGGAAGTGTCTAGTTTTCAGGCATATCTGATTTTTGGACCACCATTATAGAGACATCCTACCCATATACTAAACGGCTGTAATCGAATCAAGAAAAACGAATGCCCATTAGGATGATGAACTAAACATTAGCGCCCAGCCTTGAGAAAATGCACTCACTCTTATACTTCTAATCCCTTGAATTGTCAAACTCTTTGCTAAGTCCATATAGACAACGTCTATTGCTCTGCCTTCTTCAATCTTCTTTGTCACCTCTTCAAAAAACTCAATCAAAAGAGTGAGACACAATTTCCCATGCACAAAGCCATCTTTACAGAGAAATATTGATGGGTAAATGACTCTATCACTTTATAAGAGTGTGTCTGTTTGTCACATTTGTTTGCTGAACTTCAGCTTAAAAAGTTGCAATTTGAGATAAACAATTACTTCACCTTCTTTCATGCATTTCTCTTGTGCTTTAGAAACTTGTTCAATCTTTCTTGATTCTGGGAATCACTTTTTTCTTTGTATGTAATTAAGGCTGTTCTCCTATTGATGCATTTGAGTTATGTCCAGGATGATTTGAAAGGTGATTTGTTTATTCTTTCAAATAGACATGGGAATTGCTTAAATTGTACCTCTGAACCTGTTAGCTTTTTAAGTGCTAATTTTGTGCCGGTTTAGCCAGGCACGTTCAACTTTGGAAGGAACACCAATATCCTTATACATAAATATTTTGGTTGCAACAGTCTTTAGAAGGCATTGTGTTAATGTACTGTGGTCTCCATATTGCAAAAAGGTATAGAAGTATGGAAGAAGGTATGAAAATATATACAAGCTTGTTTCCAAAACTGAGTCGTTATAATTATCAGGAAAGGTTGAACAAAATGTTGCTGTTATTCTCCAGAAATGAGAAGACTGAGGCACAACCTACCCAATGGTCTTTTTAAAATTATGATGACATTTAATAGGGAGAAAGCTTCCATGTACAGTCAATTTCAAAATGCAAGGAGGCTAAATCTCAGATGGTAGCTAATAAATGTAGTAAACAATTCAGGAAGAACCTGTTTACCCAGAGAACAGTTACAATGCGGAAATTGCTACCACAGCAAATTGTTGAGGCAAAAAAACCCTGTTCTTTCTGAAAAGAAGCAGCTCAATAAATACACAAAAGAGAAAGGAATAGGACGATCTGCTGATAGACTAAATGATGCAAAGATGGTCAGGCTTCTGTGGAGCATAAACGCCAACATAGACATTTGGACCAGTTAAAAGGTTTTTGGACTGGAATTTCTATGTAGCTGGAATTTATGTCCTTCTCCTCCTAATTCTTGAGTTCTTATGTGAATCCCTCCATCTCATGGTCCAAAAAGTCATCGGAATGTGATGAATTTGTAAGATCAGGACATGAATTGTTGAAGTGTAAACATTCTAATTCTGTGCTGCTGCGCTTTGCACCAGTTTTTAAAAAATACCTCAAACCATATCTCTTTAACATTCTGAGTGATAAGCTGAATTTTACCCTTCCCTATTAGTTTCAATTTTCTTCCTTCCTTAACTTTCTAAATTTCACCGATTTGTGAAATGCCTTGAAGTACTACTTCATAGTCTAATAGCCTAATAGTCTGTAAAACTAGCTGTTACTGTACTACTCTTGTGTAGCCTAGATCCGAAATTGCTTAATGGTGCTGGATATTCCTGCTGATTATGAAAGGAATTAGTGTTCTCATAAATAAAGAGAATTAAGCAGAACTATGTTCTAATCGAATGTGCTAGTATTTTACAAAAATGTGATAGCTATCCATAATGTTTGGATATTGGCACCAGTATTTTTTCATCATCCATCTGTTTCTTTAGGATTTGAATAACATTGGTCACATAGTTGTCCTGCAGAATCGTTTAGTTTTGAAGCTCATGTGTTTATGATATGTTAACACATATTAATTGCATTCATATTCAACAGAGACAGTATTACATGGAGATCACTGCTGGTAATCTATTTTTTCCATTTCTGTGGGTAACACAAGCCTGTCTGTGCCAATCTATATTCTCCAGCATATAAATCGATGCTGGGTAAAAGTATGTTAGCTGAAAAAATAGATGGGAAATAGCATTTATTTTCCGTGCTTCAACAATAAATGTCTAATTTTGCATCTAAATGGCATTCATTTCATTGAACGCAAACCTGTTGTCTTGCCAGAACTAAAATTAATCTTTTCATGATCCCAAACTTATCTACATGATTAATATATAAATTATCTACATGTACTTAAACATTCCTCTCGTGATCTTTCAAGTGTTGTGATCCTGGCACTGTGGTTCATTAATTAAACCTTTCATATTATGGTGGAGCAGTTGAGGTGAGCAGAGTGCAAGTAGCTAACAGTAACCACAATCCATAGAATTATTACCCTGTATCATAACAGAAGTAGGATTATGGATGGGGAATCGGTAAGGTTGCAAGAAGTGGAACATATGACTCATTTGAGTTGCTGTTCTATTAATGTGTTTCACTGACAGGAAACCAGTCCACTGATGAATTTGTTACTGCAAACTGGATCACCAGCGCAAGGTGAAATGGATGAAATTCAAACTCTTGTTAGGCAGAAACTTCAAAAGGAACTGATTGGATTCTTCAACTCAATATTGCAATCTCTCACCTCTGTTACAAACAGGTACTAAATAACAACTAAATTAGAAATTTGAGAAACCTAGTCTCTAATAGTGACCATGAAACTGTCATTTATTGTTGTTTTAAAAGAATCTGTCTGGTTCATGAATGTCATTTAGGGAAGGAAATCTGTTGTCCTTTCCTGGTCTTCTGCATTTGACTGCAGACTCAATGTGTTTGACTCTTAATTGCACACTACAGTGATCAGGTAAAGCTCTCAGTTTAAGGGCAACCATCATGGGCAACAAATCTTATCCTTTCCAACGATGTTCAAATCCCATGAAACTGGAAGTTGATGATATTTTCTGTTTGTAAATAGTTTAACCTGCAATTTTGAATGGCAGCATTTGCTACCACAGCTACAGAGGACAGACTCACTGCCAATACAGTCAAAGTACATATGAAGTCACTGCAGGCAAATACTTGTTTCATTAACATAGTGATAGCCGAAATTATTACAAAACAATTTGCCCTGAGCGTACATTGAATAATTACACCTTAGAGTGCAGCATTGTCAAGATGAAACACTTTCGTCTCATCGAGGCCCCTGTTGGTGCTTTGCTCCACTTCTTTACAAGAAAGTGGACAGATATTGCAGACAAACACAAATCAATATAATACTGTTCAAGAAAATCTCAAATAATATAAAATCTATTTAGTAAACCAACATTGATAAAAGTCAACCTAAACGGTGCAAGTTTCAAAGAAGGCAAGGAAATTCAAATTGTCTGTAAAAGCAACTCCAGTGGCTTGTCTTTTTTTTTCCCTCATTTGAAGCACCAGGTCTTCACCTGTACCTTTCAGATGACTTTGTTAAGCTTGTGAACTAGCAGCATCTGAAATGGTGTACTTCAACTAGTCATCAAGAACTATATGGTAGAACTGGACTACAGTTCTTGAAGAGAACCTTGTTGAAAAATGATACGTCTTCTGCCACTACAGTGGAACGTTAATTGTGTGCCATTTGCATCATGGAAGTCAGTTCTACCCGCTCCCAACAAGGATACATCAGTGCTCTGTACCTTCACTGATTGCCATCCTGTGTGTTAACTAATTACATAACTGATGGATGTTTAATTGTATTCAGGTTATGGGCATTAACTGGAGATTCACTTGTGTTCCCATCATATACATACATATATAAAGTAGGAAATTGAAACTAGTGATTGTGGTTGGAAGTTCCAGTTTTACTGTGTTTCACTCTAAATAAAATTACAATTGTAAAGATGAGGCTGTAGTTCTATTTATCACTGCCTGGTTATGTTACTTATTAAACCACACTCCTCAACACTATCCCCAGTGCAAATTTTCCCTCTTCTGATTCTATTGCTTTGTTCATCCTGTCTTCCCTTGCCCCTATTGAGAAATTATGATCTGAAATTCTCTCTCTCAATATTTTTCCCTTTCATTTCTCCTTTTTAAAATCTGTCCCATTGACCAAGCTCTTAGTCACTCTTCCAAAACTCTTTTCCTTTGGATTTGGACTCAGCATCTATTTTTTTGCATTTTGTTCATGTAAAGTGGCAACAACAAGAAGTTGCATTGATTGGTAAACATCTCAAGAAAACCTTCTTCGTTAGTAGCTATGTAAATGCAAGTTGTGATAACCTTGGCTGGCAAGAATCTCAAAAATTCCTTCTGGAACATTAATTTTGTTAAGCGTTTGATAGCAGTATCATGTGCCATCTTTGAGATTTATGATGTTTTTCTAACTATTCGCACCGCTAATCCTATAACTTTCTATTGGTAGAAACATTGTTGTGATTTCCCCAAAGCTTATGTGAAACTTCTATTTGAAAGCCATTCCTTTGTGGCTGAAATTAGTAATTATGCTATTTTAATTAAGTATTTTTGCTTAACTAGAGATGGTTCATCGACTAAAATAGATTTTCTCTGAATTTCCATTGTTCTTTGCCTTTCAGAAAATGCCTGTTGTTGGCTGGTCCTTTCAGAACCCAACTTTCACTTAAGCTTCTACAGTGTCTGCGAATCACTAATGCACCACATTTCTATGGATTACCTGCATTGGAGAGGACACTGCGTGGAATGGTCTATGTTACTGCTGTTCCTGGTTGGACCTTACGTTCAACCACTGAGGACCCTTACACACTTTGTAAGAAATATTTGACTGGACTGCTGGAGGTAAGTATTGAAATGTGTATAATTTATAAAAGTAAATTACAACATAAGCGGGATTAAAATTTGAAATAAAATCAGAAAAACCTGAAAACACTCTCAGCATGTTAGGTGTCACCTATGGCGAAAGAAATAGTTAACATTTCAGATCATTGACCTTTCATTTCATCAGGGTTTGTCCGTGTTAATTTTTCACGCATACTGAGATGATGATTAAGAGACTCGGAAGTTTAAGGAACAATCAAAGGCCTATTTGTCCAAAATACTTTGACACCTTACCTTGCATCACTTTTCTTCTTCTCCCATTTCTCCATTTAGTGTATGGTAGGGTAGGGTAGGCGAGCATAGTGGTCATGTTACTAGACAGGTATTACAGGGGCCTTCACTAATGATCTGAAGTCATGTGTTCAAATCCCATCGTGTATATTAATACACAGCTAAAGGGAGGCAAATGGTGAGGCTTAAATGATACAAATAGGTAAAGGATAGAAATAACCATAATCATTTTAGTAGATTGAAAATACACCAGTATTATTTTCCATTTTTCTTAAGTGGTACATGGGAATTAAAAACTACTATGATACTACACAACAAAATATTTTATAATCTGATACTTTCACTGCTGCATTCATTGTTGTCTTTTCTAATTTTCATTTTTTTGACTGTACTAACTCTGTTAATAACAGGTCATTTCATCATTTTATGTGGAATGGGGCGGAAATGCAATGTCTTTTATGGGTAAAGGAGTCACAAAGAGTGCAGTTATCTGCTTGCTCCAGCTGTCCTATGAGATGATAACACAGGCTAAAGATAAGGTATGAGTATCAACAGGATACTTGCATGTTTGATGAACACCAAGCTTCCTTTTTAGAGAAAACAAATAGATTTTCTGGTGTTTTGCTTGTAAGTGCATGGCCAGATTTAATCACGATAGCATACAGTTCAATGCATCCAGTTCATAAATTCTGTAGCATTCATGTTACATTAATGCTATCCTTGCCAAATTCATCTCAAATTCCATTGAATTTGGATTATGTAATGGTGAGACAGCTTAATATACCTTGTGTCGTCTCATTTGCACAATACTGTGTTGTTTTTAAATTTGAAAAAATCTTGAACATTTCGGTGCATTTCACACATTAATTATAATTAATAGTTCACAATTATAAGATGCTTTTAATGAAAATATATGGCAAACACACTGAAACTGATATCAAGGCTGAATTCGACCAAGTGTCGCATCAAGGAGCCCCAGCAAAACTGGAATCAATGGGTACTGGGGGCAAACTCTCCGGTGGTTGGAGTCATACCTGACACATAGAAGGATGGTCATAGTCGGAGCAACTCACTTGTAGTGTAAGAACAGGAAGTCATATAGTTTAGTTTAAAATATTGTGTGAAGGTTCACATCTCAATGATTTAGTTTGAAAGGTGCCATGTGCCATCATCAACAACAGAATTGTATTCAGCCACAGTCTGTGGCTAGCGTGGAACACTTGCGCAGCAATAACCTCATGACTGGATGTGCTAACTTCAGATTCCGTCAGAATCATTCAGTCTTGGTCCAAACGTGGACAAAAGAGTTGACTTCAAGAGCTGAGGTCATGGTGACTGCCTTTGATGTCAAGTTAGAAGTTGACCAAGTATGACATCCAAACATAACTAGAGTTGATGAAAATCAAGGGGAAAGCCTTCTGGTTGGAATCATACCAAGCACAATGCAAAATAGTTATTACTGTTGTAAGCAAGTTGCATCAGTCCCAAGACACTTCAGTAGTTCTTCAGGCTAGTGCCATTGGCCCAACCAATATCAGATGCTTCATCAGTGAATGACATTCCCCACCCCCAAAACTCCCATTGGAAGTTCAGAAAGTGGCAATGTTCAGTTGTGTATGTAACTGAACACTTCACATCACTTCAGATACTGAAGCAGTTTTTGCTCATATGCAGCAATTGCTAGATAACATTCAGGCTTAGTTGAAAAGTGATGAGGAATGTTATTTGCTACATGGGTGCCAGATAATGACCATCTTCAGTAAAACATAATCTTAGCATCTCTAGAATCAATGACATTATCATCACTGAATCTCAAGCCAGCCATGCTGTGGTAACCTACTCTTCTCCTATCTCACCAAAGCCTGTCCACTATCTACAAGGCAGCAGTTTGGTGTGTGATGGAACACTTCCCTGAACAGTTGCAATTCCAATGATGCTCAAATATTTGATGACATCAAGGATGGAACAGTTCAATTAGTTACCATCCTACCAACCACTTTAAACATTCAGTCCCTCTACCACTGGCATGTACTGGAATCAGTATTTATTATCAATGAGATTTACTTGCATCCTGCAAGTTCCCCTCCAAGGCACACAGTACTCTGACTTGGAATAATATCACCATTCTTTCAGTGTCTCTGGCTCAAAATCCTGGAAACCTCTTCCTCACAATGCCTAAGTATATTTACACCTGACGGGCTCATGAAGGCTGTTCACTACCTTCTCAAATCTAGTTAGAAACAGACAACAATGAATCGGCAACAGCAATGCTCACTTGCCATGAAAGAATTTTGTTTGAAAACTAGCCTTTCTTGTGGAGATAAGTATATAATTGGAAGCTGTGGTTATTGAGGAGTGTTTTGTTTGTGTTTATGGGATGTTGGTGTTTCTGGATCGGCCAGAATTTATTGTCCATCCCTAAGTCGAAAGTCAACTCAGTTGAGGGCCCAGAGTAACATGTAGGCCAGATAAAGATGGCATAGAGATAGTAAGGTTTACAGGTTTTGGAAGCCAGAGTCAATAGATGTGAAGCTAGAAAAGCACAGCAGGTCAAACAGCATCCAAGGGACAGGAAAGTCAATGTTTCGGGCTGAAACCCTTCGGCGGGACCCTTCATATAAGGATGGCAGTTTCATTCGTTAATGAACCAGATGGGTTGTTAAAACAATCAACGGTGGTTTCATGGTCATCATTAGACTTTTTAAAATATTTACCTATTTTTCTAATCAACATTTCAGAAATGTTATTGCACACCTCTGGAGCAGATGAGACTTGAACCTGGGCCCCTTGGTCCAAGGGTAGGGACAGCACCACTACACCACAAGAGGGCCATCATCATCAGATTCTGTATTACAGATTTTTATTGAGTTCAAGTTCCATCTGCCCATTTCCGGGTTAATAGTCTAACAAAACTACTACACAGCCATTGTCTCCTAAGTCATTTTCCAAGTGCAGAACTTCAATCCTGTGGTCATTATGTTTTAGGAATCTGTACCTTTTCTGTCATTACTAAAATTGCTGAGTCAACTGATATTAAGTATGCATAGTGGAAGAGTGGGGTATGTTTGGCAATGAAGAATTAAAAATGTCAAAAATGGCAATTTACCACCAACCCTTTGATATGCACCAATTCAGTTTTCACGGTGACTAGTATTGGGGCCTGTGACTGTCTTCCTGGCGAGCAGTGGGAATCTGGTTAGCATTTTTGAATTAGTGCAAGTGGGAGCCTAATGTAAATTTAACAGATGCTGCACTAGCCTCCTATGGCTCAGGAAACCTTGCATTAAAAGGGAGATGGAAGCTGCCAACTGAATAACATTAGTGCATTTTACTACACTCCTACAGTCCTCTTGGCTTTCTCCTGCTGCTACAATAACCAAATTTTGACCTGTCCTCCTGAGCTTTAAACTCCCAGCATCTCCTACAATTGTCTATTTCTTCCCTTCCTACTCCTGATTTCCAGGAACTACACTTAAGGCCTATTGACTGCATTCTTCTGCCACTGATTTTAACACCTGACAGCTGGTCAACGTATCAATTTGGCCTTCTGCCCTCTCATAAATATCAGGGTTAATACTATTAGTACTGTCTCATTTACTCGTAATGCTAGTGGAGCAAATCATTCATGTATTTGTATGACCTGATACTCAGCATTTGAACAGCATTGTATAGTGGACCACAATTTCCATTTCGTTTGACACTCAAAAGTGCACTCCATTATCTGAATTATTATTTATTAAATCCTGGCTTGGAATTAATTCAAATACAGTATCAGGAATGGACTTTGATTAGAATTACGTATATATTGATTCAAAATGGTGGCAGACTCGCAGGACTGAGGCCAGGGCTTGTCCGCTCCCTCCCTCCCTTACTCTTTCCCTGCCTGACCGACTGACCACACTTTGTGTATAACATGCGCAAAAACACTTAACACCATATATTAAATACATGTGACAATAAATCTAACTATTGAAGAAATTAGACACTATAATTTTAACATTATAAAAGCACTATATGAAACGTTTGAAATATGCGCATGATTGCTACACAAAATTACAGAACCACAAAACAGATGCCGAAGATTCTATATTTACAAAGATAATTTAACGCTCAGTACTTCTCTCAGAGAAAAATGTAAATTGTTTTACAGATCTCATAAGTATTTTTATGCAAAATAATTCTGTAGATTGAAAGCAATATATAGCAGTACAATTTTGGCAACCCACAGCTTGAGTAGTTACCTTGTTTATATATTTTCTAAATTGTCACTTATTCTAATTCTTTTGCATTTGGTGTTTTCTTTTCCTTAAATTATGAGCACAAAAGCACATATAGTCTTTTTTTGTAGCCTTCCCTTCAGGATCTTAGTGCATAATCTAGGCATACTCCAATGCAATAGTAAAGATAGCATTACATTACTTGAAACACTTTTCTCAGTTAATACGCAAATCAGAAACCCTTGTGTGCTTGTTCCATTTGGCCTAATGAACCTTAAGATTTCAAAGGTTAACATGGAGTTTACCAGATATCCTGATCAACATTCCTTCAGCCCAAATAAAGAGTTAACTAAGGATTCAACTCTTCACTCACAGTATTTTGCAATATACAGAATGGCTGCCAACCTCTTTACCTCTTAGCAGCCATCA